AGAGTCGCAGACCAAGACGAAACAGTTATCCAGTGCTCTCTGGTTTTCAGTCATCTCTCTAACTGATGTTGGTTCATTCAGCATTTATTGAGAAATGTTTAGTATTGTTCAACTTAGATTCAACAGAATGATGAACCTATGCACTGGTGTATTTCGCCTACATCTGTTTCCTGTCTCACAACCATACATGGTAATAAGATTATCTCAGATACTTTTTGTAGACTGCCAGACTACTACGGATGTAACAGGTGGTGACTAAAGGTCAAGCAGATTTTTAATCATTCATCATCCATCCCAGTGTCATCAAATGATATACGACGTTAGAAATATGTATCCTTAAATGATTTTGGGGAAGAAAATGGTCTATTGATTCGAACCCCTACAAACGAAGATTTTCTTCATCTTTCAGAGATTTTCAATTTTGTTAGGTGGTTGAAGACAAACGGAAGGAAGCCTTAGACCTAGGTTTAGTGTTTGTTGGCACCTGTTGGGAAGGCGTATCTGCAATCTTCAAGGGACTCGTGTTCCTTCTGAGATTCGAACCGGGGTTACCCAGTAGTACTGCAGTCATAGATGTTGCCACTGAGTTATTTGTGCTAGCTACTGATCTCCTGTACGACCGTAGTCGATACTTCGATTGGACACTGAGTAGTAACTCATACCATGAGTCTGGTCCTTCATGTTCGTGGAGACTAACAATCCGACCATCGAACAACGATTCAGAGTGCATCATGAAAGTGAGCCACCTTCCATGACGGCCATGATGCAAACCTGACTAGAAGAATTTGGTCTTCTCCAACACCGAGGACTAGATGCATGATATGAGTTGCTGCCTAGTGTCTAATCAAGGCCTTATCAATCTTAGTGCAAAATGATATTCTTTTAGGTACACTCAGCTGTCATGTGTCACATGTTGATAACTCCCCCCCACACACCCGCCAAAGGCATTTATTCACAGATACCTCCAATTACACAAAATACATATATTATTGTTTCATAATGTATTATTCGAAATCTCTAAGTGATAGTCACCTAAATTACTAAATCAATAGTTGTTTTCCATTTTTCAATGTGGTTATGATGCAGTTTTATTCAAGCCACTAAATTACATGGAATCTGTCGAAAATAATACTGTAGGTGATTCACTTCCATCAGATAGAAGACACTCAAAATCTCTAGTGACAATAACACCACAACATATATGTGGTCATTTATTGTATCCAGTTATTATATAATCATAGATTCAGTCAGTAAAACACACACAGATATGTAATTACGCCTAATTACTATCCTCAACCTGTTGTTGTTGCTGTTATTGTCAGGCCAATTATGCTTATATAAACTAAGTGTCTAGCAATTAACTCTTTATAACACGTGGAATTAAAATATAACTCCATTCAAAGGGGAAACAAATAATCATCGAGAGGAATCTCAGGTCGCTTATAATTATCTAATAATCGAAATCACTGCTGGGAAAAATTATAATATTAGTCCCTTAACTTCTTGTGCATATTCCTATGCGTCTATATTTATGTATGTGTTACATAGTGAATTATTAAAAATGCCGTTGACCTTTTCTTTCACAGAACACACTTTGTTGTCATGTAAATTTCGTCGTGATTGGAAATGAATTTTTTAGCATAATTAAAAATTTTTTACCCACAATGATGTCCAATGACTAAATAAAAATGTTGTATAGACAACAGAAGAGTAACTAGTACGAGAAACGAGTAATTAGGTTTGGTTGTTAAGAATTAAGTTGCTTTATATACCATTATGACGTTATGTTGTGTGTGCTACTGATAAGATTCATCAGTAGTATATAAAGAGGCATTCCTCCGTAGAAAATTCTAGTAGCTTGGAAGCAGATAGATATGATGTCAGAGAAAGCAAATGATACAACCTTGCGGAGATACACGGGAGAGATGAAAGGAACACAGACACACAATATGAAGGAACGCCAGAAGTAGCACAAAACGGAAGATATATGGAAATGTTGATTTCTTCATAAGGTGTACATAATTTTGCCATAAAGAGATACCTAATTCCAAATAATCATTCCTGTGACAAATCTTTCGTTCTCTAACGTTACAGTTACATTTCTGTAACCAAGAGTATTGCATTCCATGCAACCAGTTCCCTTGATTAGTTTGAAAAGAGAAACAATACGAATAGATTTAGCAAATTTTAACTTCCTCATAGGTATTGTTGTCGATTAGTTGTTTCCTTAGAAAATAGAAAAAAGTGATATTTCAATCCTAGGGATAGGAATTTATGTCCGAAAGACTACGTATGTATTCTTACAGAGATTGTAGATTTTATTAAGTAAACAGCATTCAATAACATCTATTAGTGGTACCTGGTTTTCAATGAAGTAGCTTCATACCACAAACTCCCCAGAAATCACTTTGTGTAACGCTAGATGACGAGAGACTTGGTAAAAGAATACTTATTCACAATTTGGTATCCCTATGTATTTAAATTAATGTAAACCTTATTTTCATCGCACCGTTTGCCCACATTTTCCATGTTGCGTAACCTATCGGCTTCGTTTAAATTGTGTTTCTCTGTGTTCCTCTCACGTTTCACATGTATCGCCACAATGTTGTACCACTTGCTTTCTCTCACATCAAATCTATCTATCTGCCTGCTATCCGATGTTTTTTTATGCCTATGAACATCTCTTTATATACTACTGACAAATCTAATCAGTAGCACACGCCACACTGTCAAATAGATAACCTTTGGCTTTTTCAAGGAAGTTTAAAATTCATGTTAATTTGATATGAGTGAATAATATACTCACTCATATTGTACCAGTAATAATAACAACTCTATTTCTAAACCTTCAATTAAACAGGTTCTGCATGCACTTGCATGTATGTGTATGTGTGCGTGTGTGTGTGTGGGCCTGTGCATGATACTCAAACAACATTTTACAACTATGTAGGTCAATCAGAGTGAAATCTGAATGAATAACTGCTCATGACTAATCACTTTCAATAGTGTGATATTTAACTCAATAATTAGGTGAATATCAATCATATATTAATAATAATTATTATTATTTTACTCACTATATCATTATACCAACATCAGGTATAGTGATGAATAATCCACAGTTGACCAGTGTTCAAAAGTATGGCCAACTGTGTGATTGATGAGTGACACAATCCCACCTCGTGTACTATCTCATGCCCTTTTGTTTTGAACAAAATATGGAACAGTTAAGCACAGTTGAGGCTCAAAACGTGAAATAAACTGAAAGGTGTATGTGTGTGTGTGTGCGTGAAAGTGTAAATGTTAGTTTTTTTGTGGTTCTGGCGTCATAACATATATCATCAGGTCAATCACTAATTAGAGTCATTTCAACCAATATGAGAAGCCTCCTAATTTCAACTCAGTATAACGTTTAACATATTCATTTCCTTCCTATCCATTTCTCTCCCCCTCTCTTTCTATTCTAGGTGTTTTTGAATGAGCTGGACGCGTGTAGGACACTATGGTCGCCTCAGTGAAGCACTGAATGTGTCCTTCTGCCAATAAAATCAATATAATGTTCATATTATAAGTTCATCATATTCAATGGCGAGTGAGTGATATGGCGTAGTATTGTGTTAACATTATATAAATTATCGTTTTCATTGCAGATTAGACTTAAGCATGAATCAAACAAACAAACAAACAAAGAATAAAATAATGATGAGACAGGAATTTTTGGGGACTGTGCATTGAATGATTGATTGATTGATCGAGTGAGTAAGTAGTTGAGAAACTGATGACCTCATTAATTTGCCTTTACTATAGCTCACAGATTATCAGAGTGTGAATTTATCTGGGTTATTTGAGTTAACAATAACTAATCGCATAGGCTTCTTCATTCTACACAAACAGACAATCACAATCACAACAACAACAGTAGTTAAAAGACATACTTTCTCAATAGATAGTTAGTTATTCTTTAAGATATTTACTGTATCCATGACATTCACAGTTCTCAAGAATTAGTTTGTAGGGATTGTATTTGTTTCAGGTTAGACCACGGATTGATATCAGTTTGAGAACCACTGAGAACCAGAGACTACTTGAAAGCTGTTTCGTCCCATTTTAGGAGTCATCGGCAGTATGTACAAATTGTCAGGGTAGGAACCCACCCAGGAGCTTTCGGTTCTTGAAAAAATAAACCATTCCTGAGAATCTAATGCTCGCTAGTGAACAACTGGCTACAGGACGAAGTTGACTGCAGTTCTAGTGAGAAGTTGTGACCAGTGGGCACCATCTACTCGGGAGTAGGGATGGAGTTCCCTCCGATAGCATTGGTTGGTGGTCGTGTTAAATGCATCACGAATTGGTAGAAGTTAGAATTCACGGACTGGTCATTGACCCGAGTCCCAGTGGATGTATGGTGTACCTGTTTGTCTTGTAAGCATAAGGCCCTGGGTTTGAACCCCTCTGGTGGGCTTTAACCACACGTGAGTCCAAAACTAGGACGAAAACCTCTCCAGTACTCCCTTGGTTTCTTCAGTCCTCCTCCAACTGATATTTCATCCGTGATCAACCTTGAGAAACCTATGTAGATTACTAAACTCGACTCCTGCTTCTCCATACAGGCATTAAATTCCTCAAAAAATAATAATAATCCTTTTACTTAGTATACCTGCTAGAAATTGAAAGGTCTACCTTAACTCGAAAGTTAATACTTCACACCATGTTTTCAACTACGAGGTATACCTCTTCACTTCCGGACATTAACATACATACATGAAATCAAAATGAGCTAACAATGTATTTCAAATTTTCAAAATATTTAACTCGAAAAATTATAAGCAAATTAAAATTTTGTTGAATACAATCTCTAGCAATAAAAAGTAATAAGCAGATTCTCAAGTGACATTTATTTACTTATCATCTATGGCTCAGTCTTATGTACAGTATAAAAATTGTTTATATATGAAAACAGATTTTCGGCGCTAATATAAAAAATGAAGTACATCTTCAATCTAGTCTAAATATGGTCTCCATATCGGTGGCGATGTTGTTGCTGTTGTAGTACTAGTTGTCTCCACAGTGTCATGACTAGAATTACAAGGAATAAAAGTAGTTGATGTTGTTGTCGTAGGATTGAAAGTCATTGTGTCATGCTGTCGATGAAAATAAGTCGATGTGGGATTGCTACTTAAAAAGTTTGTCACAGTCTTCACAGGCACACGAAACGCCGAAAAGCGTTGTTCCTGTTGTTGTCGTTCTTCTTCTCCTTCTTCTTCTTTCTCTTCTAATTTTTGAAACGGTGATGACGTTGAATTCATGAGTAAATCAGTTAAAGAATGAACAACATTCGGTGTATCAGTAGGTTTAATAGATTCTATCACTTGAGTATACTCGTCATTGACAATACCAAACTGATTTGTTCGATTATCATCTATTAAACCTGATGAATGACTGTTGTCACCGCTGAGAAATCCACTGTCAGAATTATTCAGTGTGGAATTCAAATGTTTTCTATGTCCTCCTACCGGTGTTGATGACAGCCACTGCTTGTTATTATTCCATGAATGTGTCTCAATATTCGAATGTTGTTGATTGCTATTGTTCGTCATCAACCTGTCACGAAGAGGAGGAGGGGGAGTGGTAGTAGGAGGAGTTGAACAGGCGACAAAGAATACTAATGATGATATTGGAGGTAATGGGGTAGACATCGAAGATGAATTGTGCATAGAACCAAAAGGGATTCTTGTTGTTGGTGTTGTTGTAACAGTATTTGTGGTAATTCTCTTCATCACTGAACGACTTTCATTTGAAAATGTATTTTTGATTATCAATTTTGGTATCTGATTCTCTTTATTGTCTTCATCAATCACCAACTGGGTAGATTGACGAATGTCAGCAGTAGCAGTAGCAGTATTAGTATTGGTAGTGTAAGTTGAAGTGTCATTTGAGTGGAAGAAAGACGATGGTAGTATTCGTGTTATTTCAGAAGATGAATTAGTATTCACAACAGAATATTCTTCTTCCTCAGAAAGTTTATTCATCACCAATGCATAGTCTCGTTTTCGACTTTCTGCTGTCGCTGTTGCTGCTATGGCTACTTTATGCAATGATTTAGTGAATTTATCCAGCTTCTTCGTCGCTGACGTCGGTCGTAATGTGGATGATGTTGATGATGAGGAGGAGCGGGAGGACACGGAGGAGGAGGATGGAATGTCATTGCTGGTAGGAGATGAAGAAGTCACGTCATACAAACTATGACGTAGTTTCCTCAAACGTGCTTGTAGTTCTATGAAGAATTGAAGAAAGACAAAGAAGGGGGGATAATAAGCATCAAGTCATTCTGTATGACATGTTGAAATGGTACGTACCAGAAACTGGTTCATAAACTCAGTGCTAGAATTCTCACAAAACTCATAGCTGATATAGAAAGTGAGAAATCCTTAATCACAGAAAAACTATTCTATTTCGAAATCTTAATCCTTTCTCTTCTTCTTCTTCGGTGTCACAAAACAATCCAATTAAACTATAGGTAACGTGAAGTGATTCTGTGTACTTTCACAATTCCCTGTTGTCGACATATCCTCACCGGATGTAGTTATATACATACACGTTCGACCGATCAGTGTTAGACGGGAACAAAACGCAAATACATCTTCGATTTCATTGTTTATTCACCACCAGACAAATAGCAACAAGTTTGAAAAGGGAAATCCGGCGTGCTCAGTATCTACACTATTTGACTTAAATCTACATTAGCTTTGTCATTACGCCTTAAATGACGAGTCGAACAGAAAAGGAAACTCATACCCTACATTTCGTTGTCAATGTCAACCACTACTAAATATACAATAACTAAGATCTCGATACAATACAATATGAGATCATTTGAACTAACAGATTTTTAATCAACGAAGTCGAAAGTCTCAGCATCATGTACCATATTCCCAATGGTGACCTCTCCTCACTTGTAAGTTATGCATCACAAGTGCATTCCACAGTAATATCTTAAACTGATGTCTTTGTGAAAATGGTGTGACGCAGTGTGTACGAGTCCTGGTTATCGACACTCATCTAACATGCTGACTATATTCCAAACATGGTGGAAACAGTTCAGTCAACTCAAACACATCATATCGATTACTCCATTGGTAGCCAGCCAGCCACTGAGTGTATTTCAAAAATTATAAACCAAACTAAGAGGCCGCTTCAAGTGGTTAGTACTCAAGTCAAAACAATCTCCTCTCCCTGATAAAAATATTTATACGCCATTGTAACACACTTACCAGGTTTATCTTTAGCGATATTAGCAACTAGTTCCAATACTGTGTAACAAAGACTTAACATATCAACCTTCTCAAGCTTTTGACTCTCATCAGGATGAAACTGTGGAGAGAAAAACAGAAACAAAAAGGAATTATTTGGTTATTTCGTTGTTGAAAAGAAGGAGTCAATAATTTTCGGCTCATCTCTGATTGTTTAACTGACTAATATTCATCTTACTCAGCTCTTTACTGACCAGTAAGACAGTGAGTACTACAAAGACCGGGAGGGGCACACCTCAGATTTATACTCATAAAACAAAACAAGACTGTGATGAACAGAGGTGACTTCAAAGTCAGTCAAGTTATTAATTGTTTCAAGCGTTTTTCAAGTGTCTAATTTCGTGTGTGAGTATATACATAAAATATTACTGGAATTAAACTATACATGGGTGGAAACAACACCGATGTTCACTGATTCCGAATAAACCTCTCCACCCACCACCACCTCGAGTTTTCCTTCCGTCTCATTTTTTGACGACAGAAAACGTGAAATCATAATAATTCATTAACAAAAAACAAATCTGAATAGTGGGCGAGAAAATGTTTATGTTATTCATTATGTAACTAAACTATAACGCTGATATTAGTTAGTTAGTTAGTTATACTTTCAGTTACTAAGTGCGTCGGTGGCATAGCGGTTAGGACGCTCGCCGACCATGCACATGGTCCGGGGTTCGATCCCCGGCCACAGGACTCACTCCTTTACCTCGCTAAGCCAGAAATAATGCTGGTGAAGAGGAAAGGTTGGGCATGAGGCTAGCAACCCCATCCTGTAAAATAAACACTGCTACAGAAACTTCAAGGCATTAGCTTGAAGCCCTATGTTCCACTGGGAACGTGAAGGAAAAAAAAAACTAAGACAAATGAAACCAGGAAAACTAAACAACAACAATGACAAGAAGGAGTAATTAGTGTAATTAATCCAACACTCACTCATCGTCCATCACGTCACTATAACATAAAAGTAGGAGGTGTGAAGAATAATCATAATAGTAATAGTGGGCGTGGGTAATGCATCCATGTGTCTGACACACCCATACTCATGTATGCGAATGTTCAGATTAGTGATAAACTTCAATAGGTGATAATGGTGAAAGAGTACTGATGTGTATTTCACAAGGACAGATTTTACTCTAACGGATGATTCGATATATATGCAATCATGTGGAATATTATAATATATTTCTGAAGAATTATGTGATAAAATATAAAAAAACTGAGGAGTGTGAAAACATTGAGAAATTTATTTTCAGTGAGACGGAGAATAAAATTCCTGAGTTATAGTAAGTAAGCATTGCTAGTTCAATGGCAGAATGTCTACAAACTACGTACGTGGTCCGGGTCAGGACTGTCTACTGCCGATTCCTGGCGGTCTTCAAAGCCTCGCTTAGCCGGTAGTAGGCCAGTAAGAAGGAAAAGGATGAGGCATGAGGCTAGCAATTCATCCACCATGAGAAAAATCACATCATGCTAACAGAAACTCCAGAGCTCAAGCTTGAAGTCTCATGTCCCCAAAGAGAACACAAAAGGAGTGAAAAACCGATTAGCAACACTGGATAATATCCACATCATTAATTCAGTGACTTGACAGTCATCATTCCATCTAAATTCTCAAAGAAAAGGTAAAGTTCAATTCGGGATATAAGAATCACTGAAAATACTATAACGATATGAAACACTGTATGCATAAATTTCAGAATAGGCGAAAGGTATCACGTCTGTTCGTCCTGTCATATAAATGACAGGTGAAGGGAAGGTAATTCACATTACACAATGTCCACATCTAACTAATTACAAGAACTATGACTTTTCAAAAGTACACAGACATGACTCCGACGAGAATAGAATCAAGAACATTCAAGTCACGAGACATTCCCACTGGCCATTAAGTCACTCAAATGGAATGACATTTTCTATGAATTCCAGCTCTTCGTGGCCATCTGAATCCATCCTCATACCCGAACAGCATACGAGTTCACCTTACTTAACCTGAACTTCCTGACTACCATCCTTTGTGGGGTCATGAGATGTCACCATTCATCAGTCTCAAACTGGGACGAAACAACCCTCCGATGACATTTTATATTTCTCTAACTGAAGTGAACTCCTGGTCAAAAGTGAAATCATGTTACTATAGTGTCAATACTGTTTACACCTAACTACTTCCAACAACGAAGATAATAAAAACCAATAAGGCAATATGATAACAGAAATCATCAATGTACTCACATTAATTCCAATCAGCTCCATAGCTAAACTATGCAAAGCGTTCATTTTATCTGTGATGGAAGCACGTCGTCGACGTTCCATATTCTGTTTTTTCAGCTAATTTATGTAAACAGAAGAAACATGGAAAAATACAGTTATCAGTTAGATGACTAGTTAACTGGATGGGTCAATAATCAAACACTAAGGAACAATAATTTTGAGCACATTGAAAAGTCACCCAACCACCCGCCCACCTGCCACCGACGAACAGGAAGACCATAAATAAATTTAATTTCACACCAATTAAATTGATTTGGTAAAGCTTACACAGTGTTACTGACTCTAAAGTATAGCAGCCCAAAATGAATCTACCTAATAAGGACCTTGACAAATCTCCATCGGCCAATCACGTGTCTGAAGTAGAAGTGCTTAGTATGAAAAAAAATTACACAAAAGTAATGATCCCAATATTTTTGGGTGACTGTAGAAACTTTCAATGGAATTTGTATGATTCCCATTGAAAGGAATGACGAATGAGTGACCACGTAGGGTATATAACCTACGGATGACAGTTGACTGCACTACTTCCACTACTTTCTTACAATCAGCCTGTTGTTTGAGCAGTACTTAAATAGTAAGTAGATGTGGTTGAAATTCGACACCGAATTCGTCTATACCATCCACAATTGCCTCCACATATACCACTGACTCATCTGACTGGTTGCCTCTCAAGGTAACATTAATTCATTCTGTAGGGCGGTTTCGTTTTCGGCTGCTGCAGTTTAGAAGTCACCCACCCACTCAGTGCTATACATGGTTAATAACCAGTTTGCGTTCTTACAACACGGTCATATCAAAATTAAGATCAAATTTAATTTATTCTCTTAATTAAGCTGTTGACATGATTATGCGCAATAAATTCTGCTTGAAACGTCAATACCCTGTAGTATTACGCTGTATTTTATATCATATAGACTTATCATCTCATGTGGACTCAGTTTAGTTAGACACATATAAATTAATTCGGGTTAATATAACTTCCTCTTCCCCCCCCCCCCACTACACACAAGTGACTCATGCAATAACAACAACATACTATGGCTACTATACTCTTAGACCCGAATTCTTCTCACTCGATTTCATTCGATCTGATTTGATTTTAAAAATGTGTGACTCATACTTCGCTTGTATAGCTGACAGTAAAGAAAAAAAAGCATGTTGCTAAGTCACTCAAAATGCCACAGGATTGATTACACAGTCAACTAGTGTATTTGGACATATTGATTTTAATGCATTTGAGCATCTGACCAGTAACCAACCTAGTGACAACACTTCTCACAACACTGTCACTTAAAACATATTTGTCAATATCCTTGTTGTTGTTATTTTTATTATTACTATTGTTTTTATTATCATTAGTGTGTTGACTCATCTTGAAAAATTAGTCGCCTATGTGTAGTACAAATAACTAAAATTATTTAAAAAAAACAACTGACTAGCAACTAACGAGATATCAGTCAGTCAGTCAGTCACACTATTCGCTTGTTATGACTCTATAGTATATGTAGATAATATTAGTAAAGGGATACTACTGATGTGTGAAATGTAAGGTACTCGGTGTTACTACTACTATTACTACTATGAAAAAGCATATAGACATTCGATCAATAATTCGATGATATCAACTACTAACTGATTGATTAGTTTAGAAAATTATAAATAAAACGTCTTATCCTCAGTAAAACCTGAATGAATTCTCTAGTAAGCAATTTGTACCTCGAACAGTTCACACTAAATTTTAGTTCGTTACACCGAAATAAACTGGTCTATTCTCACCTCGTTTTCCTACCACATCGGAACACCCAAGACAACATAACAGGAGAGTTCAAAAGACATGGAAGGAAGAACTACATCGCTATGCAGTACTTGTTCATCTATCGAGTAATACAATCGTGGAAACCACTCACAAAACATAGTGGCTTCCATGATCTCAGTCGACTCGTTCAAGAAGCGATTAGACACGGTTAGATAGTTATTAGGAAAGGATTAAAACAGGTTTGAAGCCATCTGTCGTGAACCATAAGTCTCAATCTCTTCGCCTACCATCTATACAATTATTACATAGACCTGTGACAAATCTCCAGTTAATCACTGACTAATGTCTGTGTGTTGGTGACATATTAACTCGACATGTATCGCCCCTTTGAAAACCAACCACATTTACAGGCATACCTTCTATCCTGGATTCGCACAACCAACTCCAGGATATCGAATATCTGGCTGTCGTGAATAAGCAGTGAACTAATTAAAGTTACCAAACCGTATATGCACGGGAATCATAGTAGGATAACCCGTCTTCTCAGAGAATTGAGATGCTCGAGTAGGTTAACGCATAGAACCAATATCAATAGTAATCGCTTCACAATCTCGTCCCTCGTGTTACTTCCTTCATTCGGATATCTTCTCCATATAATGAGGTCTGTATAGCCTAACAACAAAGAGCCTCCCATTCTATCCGTATCGCAGGTTCCATCAGCGAAATACATCAACCGGGGTTCACTCTCCACCGACAGCCTCCCAAACCTATCTCAACCAGTAGTAAAACTGGAAAACAATGGAAGTTGATCAAAGTTAAACCATCATAGCCACAATAGTGGAGACCTTGAACAACCAATCACAATCCAGATACAAAAGTCACATAAACATCTTCGAAAAATGCACCAAAACACATTGCAAACATGATATTACACAACATGATTGTCGCTTTTGAGTTGTAAGAATGTCTCTCAGTTACTACACAGATGATCTGTAGAGAAATCACACCATACGCGATAGATGCATTCATCCAGGTGACTCCAGGTCATGGAAATATGAGATCCACTTATATTTCTGACACTGTCCCTCAACCCACTCATAACTCTAACCATAATCCTGACTTTAACCTCATTTCTAACCTCACTTAACCCAACACCCTAAACACTAACATAAAAAGAAATATCCCCACACAACAGTATAGATTTGGAGAGAAAGCATCTGGAGAATAATTAGATTACTGTATCTACCCTAGCCAAATCCAAAGAAGCAGGCATCATTTCATTCGGAATCACATTTCGCAGTGTTCCATGTGTGTGACTGGTTCTCCAAGGCCAACTTTTCTCAGACCTCGACCTTGGTTATGATACTTTAACTTCACTTGAAATGACATTTCACAGAGTTCCCTGGGACTCACTGCTTCTCGAAGGCCAACTATTCGTAGACTCCTTTGACTTTGGCTATGATGCATTAGCTTCGCCAACGCTGGGTATCAGACTAGCAACTCAACCACATACAAACACTACAAACACTACTGGAACTTCGAAGCCTAGTGCTTCAAGTATCTCTCCCACTTGCAAACTGAAGAAATAAACTTCCCAATGCAATATAATCATCAATGTAAAACAACACACCATATATGTTGAACAGTACAAATTCAAAAAAGCAATTTTCACAAATGAACTTACTCGACGTATTTCTTCTATAATCCCCTCTGGTATAGTCGATGGTCTACCTCTTTTTGAAGGCATTTCATCATTTCGTGAAGTTGAAGGTTCAACTACATCAGATCCTGATAATAGATTCTGTGATGTAATCCCACTTGATGAAACATAAACAGGTGGTACACGTGCACCGTCCCCATGACATGTGGATCTTGGAACATAGTACATTACCACAGCAACTAGTAGCACGAGAGAATGTGTAATCAACTCTGGATCAGGTTCACTATCATTTATATTCACATTCGTGTGTTTATCGACTAACCAATGACAGTAGAGTATTTGTGTAAATCAAGGATGCAGTAATTCACGTGGGAGGAAATTGAGCCAATCAAAATAATTGTCATGCTTTCTACCAACCACGTGATTGACCCAGAAGCCTCCATAACAAAAGCTGTCATATATTGTTGTCACCTTGATGTAATTGGTGGAAGAAATAACCCATTGGATTGGTTTGAATATTTTTACAGTGTTGTTGATAATGCAATTTTAATAAAATAGTTGAATAGTAATCAAGAGAAGAAAGGAGGGTTATTACTTGTTGGGATTATTGCTGTTGTGTATCACTGGTCCAGTAGCTTGATATAAGTATAAAACTTGGGCACTGTGGTAGAGCATAATTCTATTATCGATAAGATTTTATTTTAATAAATCACAAAGTGTTGTACAGTTAACATTACTGTACAACAAACACTGTGTGATATATCAAAATAAAATCTTATCCATAATGGTCCAGTAGCTTATTGGTTAATCCCTGCATTTGTTCTGAGTTTGATCCGCTCAGAGAGCATCATCATATTGGAATGCAGAGAGACTGGAATGACGAGTCCCTAGTGGGGGAAACGCACTCCCTGAGTATTATTACCAATCAATCTCCCAAACCGCTCAAAGAGATAATATCAAAGACTACTATTCTTCATTGCAAATCTGGTGACAGGCAGAAGTTTGAAGGGTTCCTCTTATTGTCTGAAATCCGTTATTGTTTAGTCGTCAAATCAGATGATGTTGTGTATACACAGTAATCTATTGAATTTAATTCATGTAAACACAATACTACTCGAGAAGTCGAGGACATTGGTTGACTAAGTACTCTGTAAAAATCATTACAACTGCTCCATCCACCCTAGTAGTCATCAACAATGAGTGCTCACCATCCGATGAAAGGTAGAATTCGTAACAGTCAGACACCAAACTCGACTCAAATGTCTTCTTTTTCCAGTCACTGCATGAGGTTGTAGCGTCATTCCTTTTTAGTTTGGTTTCTTTGTTCGTACCGAGTGGGACATAGATTTTTACAGTTTTGGTGTTGTTTTCTAGGGTGTGGTGTTGCTAGCCTCATGACCAACCTGCACCCTCTATCGCACTTACTACTGACTAGGCGAGGTTTTGCTATTCGTCGGCCAGCTGTAAAACCCCGTCCATGTGCGTGATGAGTGAGTATTCTTCCACAGGATCACCAGCACATACAATAATTTCCTCCCTTCATATTGTGTTCGGCTGTGTTACTTTCACCTCTCCCATGTATCCCCGCAACACTGTATCACTTGCTCTCTCTGACATCAAATCTATCTATCTGCCTGCTATACGATGTTTTTCATGCTCATGAATATCTCTTCATGTACTGCTGATAAATCTTATCAGTAGCACATACCACACTGGCAGATAGATAACCTTTGGCGTTTTCAAGGAAGTTTAAAATTGATGTTAATTTTGATATGAGTGAACAATATACTCACTCATGTTGTATGACTCATAATAACAACCCTATTTCTAAACCTTCAATTAAACAGGTTCTTCTTGCATTTGCTTATATGTGTATGTGTGTCTGTGTGTGTGGGCCTGTGCGTGATACTCAAACAACATTTTACCACAATATGGGTCAATCAGAGTGAAATCTGAATGAATAACTGCTCATGACTAATCACTTTCAATAGTGTGATATTTAACTCAATAATTAGGTGAATATCAATCATGTATTAATAATAATTATTATTATTACTTTATTCACTACATCATTGCACCAACATCAGGTGCAGTGATGAATAATCCTCAGTTGACCAGTGTTCAAAAGTATGGCCAACTGTGTGATTAATGAGTGACACAATTCCAACTCGTGTACTATCTTATGCCCTTTTGTTGTGAACAAAATATGGAACAATTAGGCACAGTTGAGGCTCAAAACGTGAAATAAACTGAAAGGTGTATGTGTGTGTGTGCGTGCGTGAAAGTGTAAATGTTAGGTTTTTTTTGTGGTTCTGGCGTCATAACATATATCATCAGGTCAATCACTAATTAGAGTCATTTCAACCACTATGAAAAGCCTTCTCATTTCAACTCAGTATAACGTTTGACATATTCATTCTGTGTGTGTGTGTGTTCTAGGTGTTTTTGAATGAGCTGGACGCATGTAGGACAATATGGTAGCTTCATTGAAGCACTGAATATGTCCTTGAGTCTATAAAATCAATATGATGTTCATATTATTAGTTCATCATATTCAATGACATGTGAGTGATATGGCGTAGTATTGTGTAAATATTATGTAAATGATCGTTTTCATTGCAGATTAAACTTAAGGAACAAACAAAGAAACAATAAATTAATGATGAGACAGGAATTTTTGGGGACCTTTGATTGATTGATTGATTGATTGATTAACCTCGCCTAGATTGCTAGGTCACTAGTATACTAGCCGGTCCCAAGCCCGGAAAAAAAGGGAAGGTTGAGGTGTGGTGGTAGCAACTCCACCCCCAGCCGCAGAAATAAGGAGATATAAAATAGAAGTGTTGGGAATCTGCGAGAGCAGATGGAACGGATGCGGAAGGTGTCAATTACCAACTGGAGAGACAATAATCTACTCCGGTCACCCAGAGGACAACCACGACAACACCGAGGGAGTAGCCATCATGATGTCACCAACAGCGGCCAAAGCTCTCATGCAGTGGGAACCAATCTCCTCCAGGATAATGACAGCCAGGTTCAACTCAAAAGGAAGGAAGGTTACAATCATTCATTGCTACTCGCCTACAAACGTCTCAGAACAAGAGAAGAAGGAGGATTTCTACAGTCAACTACAAACAGTAATGGACAACGTCCCAAAGAGCGATATCAAAATCCTGATGGGTGACATGAATGCGAAACTGGGAGGAGACAATACAGGAAGAGAACTCATCATGGGTCGTGAGGCCCTCGGTGAAATGAACGAAAATGGTGAACTCTTCTCAGACTTCTGCGCCTTCAATGATTTGGTGATTGTTGGCAGTGTGTTCAAACATAGGGATATACACAAGGTGAAGCTGAAAGCCTCGAGGTTACCTGGGGATAGGCCACAATGCAAGTTCAACACTCAAATCTGAAGGACACAATCACACAGGACATTTTCACTGCAACTGTCAGAGCAAAGCGGGAAACACTACGTGGCACCACTGAGGAATCATCCGTGGAAGACCACTGGAACTCTCTGTAGGTAATTTTCAACGAAACGTGTTCAACGGTTTTAGGAAGAAAGAAGAAACAAGACAAGGAATGGCTCTCAACAGACACTTGGAAGCTAATAGAGGAGAGGAGAATGGTGAAAGAGAAAATGATTCAATACAAAGACAGACAAGAGAAGGAGACTTTGAGTTCAACTTACACAGCACTGGACAAAGAAGTGAAGAAGAGTTCCAGGAAGGACAAAAGACAATTCTACGACAACCTGGCTACTGAAGCTGAGAAGGCACAGGCAAAAGGGACCTGAGGACACTATGTCAGATAACCAAGTCTCTATCCGGGAAGAGATCAACACAAGTGAAACCTATAAAAGACAGCCAAGTGTACCCAATTACCAAGGAAGAAAGACAGATTAAACAATGGGCGGACCACTTCAAAGGACTCTTGAACCGACCACCACCTACAACCCGTCCAGTAATACCAACAACAGCACGTACACAACTGCAAGTTGACACCAATCCTCCAACGAAAACTGAAGTCATGAATGCAATCAAGCTTCTGAAAGCTGGAAAAGCAGCTGGACCAGATGGAATACCCCCGGAAGCACTGAAAGCGGACCCAGAAACGACGGAAGATATGCTGACTCCATTATTGCAAAAGATCTGGAAAGAGGGAAAGGTGCCTACTGACTGGAGGAAAGGTTACCTAGTGAAACTACCAAAGAAGGGCGACCTGGGACTCTGCAAGAACTGGCGAGGAATCATGCTCCTGTCTACGCCAAGTAAAATCCTGAGTCGCATCATCCTGGAGAGAATCAAGGACGCACTGGATACAGAACTCCGACCAGAACAAGCTGGATTCAGGAAAGGCAAATCATGTTCTGACCAAATTGCAACTCTACGCATTATCATCGAATAAAGCATGGAATGGCAATCAAACCTCTACCTCAACTCTCTTCATAGACTTTGAGAAGGCCTTCGACAGCGTTGACCGTGAAGTAATTTGGAAACTACTCAAGTACTACGGCGTACCCCAAATATTCATCAACCTTATTCAGCAGCTGTACGAAAACAGCACATGTCAAGTGATCCACAACGGAAAACTCAACGAGGCGTTTGGAGTAAACACAGGAGTCAGACAAGGGTGCTTATTATCGCCAATGATATTCCTAATTGTGGTGGACTGGATTATGCGTCAGGCAGTGGGAAACGAGAAGACAGGGATATCCTGGACCGACGTGAAGAACCTAGAAGACCTGGATTTCGCAGATGATTTATGTTTGATGTCACACAAGATCGAAGACTTACAAGCGAAAACCGACAAACTGATCGAAGAAGCAGCCGGTGAAGACAGGACTGCAGGTGAACATAGACTAGATGGAGGTTATGAAAATAACCAACCAACCAACAACAACAACAGCAGCAGCAACATCCAGTGCCAATCACCATCAACGGGAGGGATTTGAAAGAGGTTACTTCATTCACTTACTTATGTAGGGAGCATTGTCTCAACTACAGGAGGAACGGATGAGGATGTCAAATCGAGAATCGGGAAGGCGAGAAACACATTCATCAACCTGAAACCAATCTGGAAATCTTCCGCTGTCACTCAGCATCAACAACAAAATTCGGATTTTCAATACAAACGTCAAGTCAGTCATTTCTCCTATACGGACCAGAAACTTGGCGGGTCACAAGGAATATTTCCAACAGCCTGTTGCAGACCTTTATCAATAAATG